ACAATACGTATTTTACAAACTACTTTCTTTAAACGAAAACAATATTTTTCTTTTTCTCTTCACCTCTCTGCATATATTTATTAAAAATGCATTCTATGTTTTGCTATACATTTCCTTTGCTATGTTTATTGAAATATATCCTTGTCTTGGTGACTTGATTTGAAGTAACACATATTTTTCTCTACTGAAATGATACATTTCATTGAATATATAATGAATGCCTAAGTATTAAATTCTTTTTTTAATTATATTGATCAAAGTACGTACTTGAAATTTAGAATGTATTCATATCAGTACACGATTTCTAAGATAACCAAATTTAAGAATTATACATTGCGCTGGATGTTTTACCCGGGTATGTGATAGTTAAATGCTTACATTTTGTATGAGTGTAAAAAATATTACAATTATAAACCTGGAATCCTAGTCTCCTGAATGGACTTTTGTCGATAAAATAAGGAGGAAAGAGCATTCATTATTCTCTCTCAACTGATGCCATTTCGAGATATAATTTTATTTATTTTTTTTATATTCGGATTTTAGTATTCTAGTATTTTTGGCTTGAATTATAGGAATTTATAAAACAGCCACCTATCTACGGGAAAGACAGGTTTCGTGGCCTCAGTTCTCTTAGACAGATGGTCCTGGTTTGCAGCATAAATTTCTAGGATTTCATGTTTCTTATAGAATCTTATGACCACTATATCAAATCTTTTATTGCAAACATTGTATTGTTGTTTAAATTATTATTCTTGTAATCTCTTAAATTGTTACACGAACTGCATTATTGTTTCGTGTATCCTTCTTGTGTAAAACATTTATTATTACTATTATTATATATTGAATAAATTCCTCGATTGCTATGGCCCACCAGAGGCCGAGCGGAAAAGACGCTGAACACTGGTAGTTCGGTCCGAGGTTCGAATCCCGCGAACGGGCTGGCTGTATGGGTGTTTTCGTGGTTTTCCCCATGTGTAACGTGTATACGAGCCAGTTCCCCTTAGAAAGTCCTCCACGAAGGCATCCCTCCCCTTAGGCAGATAGCCCTCAAGGCTTTGCCATAATCACACACACACACACCTCGATTGCTATGGTATATTGTTATTGTATGAAATTTCTGCTATTTTTTTCGGTTTAGTTTATTCTATCATGGTAAAACACTTGAGGGCACTCGAGGGCTATGTGGCTAGAAGAAGGGATGCCTTCGTGGGGGACGTTCTAAGAGAAATGGCTCGCATAAACACAACACATGGGGAAAATCACGAAACCTCCCATGCTGCCAACCCGTTCGCCTGAATTCGAATCCCCGTCGAAACTACCAGTCTCCAGGATTTTACTGCGCGGACGCTGGCGAGCTCACTATTAATTTTGTACAAAAGATACACTGCTGTTGTTATATTCTTTAAAATACTTTATTGAATATGAACAGTGTAGCCTCAGCAGTCCCCACCATGCACCTTCTTTCCATGTTCTAGTCCTTATTTCAATGTTCCTCGTTTCGTGGCCAGTCCCCTGGAGGGCACAGTACTAAGCTCTTTATTTATATTTATTCATGTATTTATTTTTAATTTCATCGACGGGATCCAACAGGCTGAAAAACACCTAACCCAGTGGGCCAGCTGTTACGTCGATGGTGAAAAGAAAAGAAAGTGTACAGAAACAGTATCTGCACCTGATTCTTATAGCACATCTTTAATATAAACTGTATGCCTAACATGTACCATAATAGTGACAAGTGTTCCGCTTAGTCTCAGCAGTCCCCACCATGCACCAACTTTCCATGTTCTGGTCCTTATTTCAGTGTTCCTCGTTTCGTGGCCATTCCCCGGAAGGCACATTACTAAACTCTTTATTTATATTTATTCATGTATTTATTCCTTTGACGGGATTTAACAGGCTGAAAAGCACCTAACCTAGTGGGCCAGCTGTTCCGTCGATGGCGAAAAGAAAGAAAGTGTACAGAAACAATTAACTATCCATCGTGTTTATAAAAGCTCTTTCGCAAATGTTGGTCGTAACTTCCAGTTACAACATTGTTTTAAATGCTGCAAATATTCATATTTTGGCGTTTTTTTAAATTTAAGTATATCAATTAATTATGGTTATATATCACCTATGTAAAATTAAGAAATCTAACTTCATACACGTTTCTACGGTTCCTATAATTATATTTAGAAAAGTTTTGTACTCGTTCTTTTGTGGTCACTCATTTTTTAAGTCTTTGAGGACCAAAACGTCCGAAACACCCTTTCATTCAAACGACTACAACCGCCCGAAACAGCCGAGATTGCGAGTTATTTTCTTCCCTCTCGCTAAGTATTCAGTACCAGGTGCAGTTTCTCTAAATGCATTGTATCAGTTATTGCGCACAGCTTCTTCTAAAAGACTAACGGAAGCTTCTTTTTTAAGAAGTAAAACGGATGTTATATGAAATCTTCCCACCTCTTTGTGTGTTAATGAAGGGGAAGGGGAGGAAACGGACGGGGATGGGCGTTTCTGTATTTTATGCATACAGGTCAGTGAAGGCTTCTATTTTTTAAGGGTTAAGGAAACAATGCCTTTACTCTTGTATTCCAAAAATTGACCAAGTTATTTGACATTAAATTGGGAAACTGCATTCCTGGAGGTACGGAAATTGACAAGCGAGATCTCTACATTTTTACAAAATTAAAACTAAAATATCATACAGAAAAAACATCTCAGGCTAAGAGAATAATAGACGAGCATTTCTATGCAGCTTATTGTGAAAAATATTGATCAATATAATTTGCTGATTTTTTCAAAATGGAGATTTCATTCGGAGAACCTTGCACAATTCGTGTTCTAAAAAGCACTGGCGGCCTTCAATGCAGACATGTAGCCAAGTCACAATATAATTGGTAGGAATTAAAAATGCAAAAATATTTGTATTTTAATGATTTTTTGTACGATTACCAGATTACGATTCTAAAATAATAAAACTTTATGTTAATATTAATAACGCACTTCTAGACTGTGAAAACGTTTGTGAGAAAAATCTTTGAAAAAAAACGTCGTGTCAATGTAAATGGCAAAAACGAAACAGACGCAAAAGAATTGTAAATCACAAAAAAATGTCATTGTCTTGAACATTAAAGGAAGAAAAGTGAGCGTCGAAATATTCTAATTTATTTATTAACCGACCCTTCTGTGCAAATACAAAATGGCTTCAAACACTGTAAATTTTGAAATTAAATATCTCGCTTGATTTGAATCGTACGAGAATCAAACCTTTTGCGTTTTATTTTCTATAACGAGTACAAAAGTTTCCGAAACATAAGGACCGAAAGAAGGTGTAAAATACTATCTTTCTTATTTTACACAAAATTATTCAAATTAAAAAATGGCCAAATATGAAAATATGCGTCATTTAAAATATTTTTGTATTTGGAAGTATACGTCTAGGCGAAAATAAAGACAAGTCAAGGACTTTGGTGGATTTCATCACTAAGATTATTTTAAGGAATAAGACGGATATCATCACTAGTGATATTCATTAAGATTAGAGAATTTTTCTGTGGGAACCACTCTAGCTTAAATTCGTGTTAAGTTTAGCGAAGTAATTAGAGACATATATTTCTTCATCATCAATTTGACGATGAATATTACTTAGTTTCAAATTTCAAGTTTGCTTTCTTCTCTCCTTTCAGTTTTATTAATTAAAATATTAATTTATCTTCATTTAATTTGCCCATTAACAAAGAGTTATCAGTGCAATATATAATTAAAGAAATCATAGGAATTGGGGGAAAAAAAAAAGGTCAACTTGAAACTTAAAAAAGTGTTAAAACAAACTTATTGATATAGATTTCGATAAAATCCTAGTTTATGTTAGATCAACGTTTTATTCAAAATGTACGCCAATCTAAATTTGCTTTTTTGTCTGATTTTAATTACAGAAAAAGAACTGAGAATTTATGAAGTGCCACGGTATTATAAATTACGTGCACAGACACGGCAAACACTTTTATTGTAGATTACATATAAAACGAGGTAAAAAAATTCTGTTTCTTAATCATCACGTGCATATAATTTTGACTATCATGTGTATATTATTTTAAATCATCACGTGTATATGTTTTTCAATCATCAGGTGTATATTTAAATGATGCGTATAGAAGCAGCAAATACTTTTATTGTAGATTATGTATAAAACAACGCTAACTATTCTGTTCTTCAATCATCACGTGTATAGAATTTTAATCATCATGTGTATGTGTTTTTTAATCATCATGTGTATTTTCAAATCCGTGTATAAAAACGACAAATCTTTTTATTGCACATTACGCATAAAATAATTTAAAACAATTCTGATTTTTAATTGTAAAACTGTTTAGATATTTCAATATTCGATATGAAACAGCAATTTATCTTCTTGTTGATAGTGCATTTAGGAGCGCTTAAACAATGTTATTTAACACAAGATAAATTGTCAAGCAGTTTTTGTTTTGCAAGAAATAATTGTGAGTTTACTTATGTTGGATCGTAAAAAATAATGTTAATATTAATTCGCCATGTTTGATGTAGTATATTTAGTACCGTTATATATTGCATATTGAAGTACAGTTATATATTGTAATTAGTTGCTATGCATTAGGAATGATATGAAACCTAACATTTAAAATGCTAGATATTGATATAAAATACGTTTCCCAATATTTGATATGTCTGCGAATGCTAACCGTTAAAACATTCTTTGAACAGTTTAAACTAACGGCCCAAAACCGGTACAAGGAGCTTTTAACTGCAAGCACCTAAATTGTCTACACTTATTGAGTTAATTAAAGCACGAAACATAACTGTCCTAAGCAAATGCTCATGTATTAAATGCATGCATTTATTAAAAAATAGCTGCCATTACATAAATGAAACAAAATTAACAACTAATGAATAATATCTAAAAGATTCTACATTAACATCTCATACGCTTGGAGAATAATTTAGATGGATTAAAAGGCAATGAAACAAACAGTAGGCATGAGTTAGAATCAAAAATTTATTATAAGTCGTTGTCCATTTAAAAATTGCCATCTGTGATGCTTCCCGATATCAATCATCAAGTGGGTATAAGCAAGTAAGTCGTGCCTCCACAAGACTCTGTACTTCACTGTGTTCAAACCATCTCTCGATGACCGCTTCTTAGCCATCCTCAGTAAGGCAGTTCTGAAAAGACCAAGACATTCGTTAATTAATTAGTGCATAGAAATGTCAGACTTAATAGTATGTAGAAAACGGTGGGGAAAATCACGAAAATACCCATTCGGTCAACACGTCTATCGGTGGTATTCTATCGCATATATCGGTATCGGTTCACAGGACGGGTATAAAAAAACTTTCCCTTTTTGAAGGCATATGCAGCTAAAACTAATAAAGGAAATAAAACCAAATTTCATATACAGACTATGAAAGAAAAGTGGGGGGGGGGCAGAAATTCCATAAAAAATGTACCAAAACTCGGTGGGGAAAATCGGTGCGTATTTACGGTGGGGAAAATCACGAAAATACCCATTCGGTCAACAAGTCTATCGGTGGTATTCTCTATGGCATATATCGGTATCGGTTCACAGGACGGGTATAAAAAAACTTTCTCTTTTTGAAGGCATATTCAGCTAAAACTAATAAAGGAAATAAAACCAAATTTCATATACAGACTATGAAAGAAAAGTGGGGGGGGGGCAGAAATTCCATTAAAAAAAGTACCAAAAATCAGTGGGAAAAATCGGTGGGTATTTACGGTGGGGAAAATCACGAAAATACCCATTCGGTCAACACGTCTATCGGTGGTATTCTATCGCATATATCGTATCGGTTCACAGGACGGGTATAAAAAAAACTTTCCCTTTTTAAAGCTATGCAGCTAAAACTAATAAAAGAAATAAAACCAAATTTCATATACAGACTATGAAAGACAAGTGGGGGGGGGGCAGAAATTCCATTAAAAAAGTGGGGAAAATCACGAAAATACCCATTCGGTCAACACGTCTATCGGTGGTATTCTATCGCATATATCGGTATCGGTTCACAGGACGGGTATTAAAAAACTTTCCCTTTTTGAAGGCATATGCAGCTAAAACTAATAAAGGAAATAAAACCAAATTTCATATACAGACTATGAAAGACAAGTGGGGGGGGCAGAAATTCCATAAAAAAAGGACCAAAAATCGGTGAGGAAATTCGGTGGGTAGTTATGGTGGGAAAAATCACGAAAATACCCATTCGGTCAACACGTCTATCGGTGGTATTCTATCGCATATATCGGTATCGGTTCACAGGATGGGTATTAAAAAACTTTCCCTTTTTGAAGGCATATGCAGCTAAAACTACTAAAGGAAATAAAACCAAATTTCATATACAGACTATGAAAGACAAGTGGGTGGGGGGCAGAAATTCCATAAAAAAAGGACCAAAAATCGGTGGGGAAAATCGGTGGGTACTTACGGTGGGGAAAATCACGAAAATACCCATTCGGTCAACACGTCTATCGGTGGTATTCTATCGCATACATCGGTATCATTCCACAGGACGGGTATAAAAAAAACTTTCCCTTTTTCAAGGCATATGCAGCTAAAACTAATAAAGGAAATAAAACCAAATTTCATATGCAGACTATGAAAGACAAGGGGGGCAGAAATTCCATAAAAAAAGTACCAAATATCGCTGGTAGGAGAATTTAGCTCTGTCGACGCCGAAAGCGGCTCAATAATTATAATTGAGTGGACGGAAAATGGATTTCATAACATTTCCTTAATGTTTCAGTAACAAAATATGAACATACAGAAATGAGTGGCATACAGTACGGAATTTCCCGAAAATGATTTTTTACTCATCAATTTGAGGTTTCCCTGGACCATGTGCAAATATTCCATACGCTGACCTTCCCTGTGTGCAGGATATTGCATCTGGTATTTAGAACGTCCTGTTCTGCTGCGCGTAAAGTACCTGGATGGTTTGTAACAGCCTATCTTATGTTATCTTTCAAGCAGCTCGGGTGTGTAACGCCACCATTATATACAAAGTGTGTAACGCCACCATTATATACCTCACAGAAAAAGTCCCATAGGATTATGTACGAGAAACAAGGCGGCCATTTCGATATAAATAATTCATTGATACCTTTTTCATTATCGATACGCCAGAGTAGTGTTTTCTGTATTAAATTAAGTATATTTGGCCGATATCTTATCTTGCATAAAAGTATCAACTATATCAATTCTTTGTCTCGATACCTTATTTATAATTAATCTTTGCTGCAATTCAGGAATGACAAATTTTTCAGTAATTTTCGATCTTTCTCAGTAACAGTGCAGAGTAACAGGACTAATAGAAGTGATATTCTTAAAAACATATATTTCTAATATGAAATCTACATAGAATCTACTCGACACATAATATATAATAAACCAAATATACATATATAATATAATAAACAAATACTAAACCAAATTAAGGTAACATATTTCGAAATTTTATTCTGTACATGGTAAAAAATTTATTCTCATATATTACAATTTTATGTAATTATGGTGTTTCGAAGCAAAATGTAAGCAAAATTAGCAGAGAAAAGTAAAATGCGATAACGTTGATGAAGTTTATCAATTCGTAAAAAATTACTTATAATATTCAATCTAAATAATAAAATAGATTCCATTAACTCCTATCAAATTTTTCCGTTCATATCATTGTGCGAAATATAAGATGTTTTATTTAAAGTAAATATTAAACCTCATGTATACTAACTAGCATTTTGTAAACTCGCGCAGGTTCTTGAAGATTAGCTACATAATATTTATTAAAAAAATCCAAATGGAAATCAAATTTTCTTTTCTTTCTTTACAGTAAATAACAAACAAGACTAAAATACATAATTAACTTAATTAATACTTTAAACAAGACTAAAATACATAATTAACTTAATTAATACTTTAAACAAGACTAAAATATATAATTATTTCAAATTGGCTAATCTGAGGTTTTCGAATATACGGATCAGTTATGATCCCAGTTTTTCCAGATATTTAATGTTCCATTGCATATTTTAGTGAAATGACCCAACAAATACAGAAGATAATTTTATATGCGAAAAATCTTTCTCTTATGTTGCGCCATTCTGGGAAGTAACATACATGACAAGTAAGATTTACATCAACAACTCTGTATCCCATATGTGTATAAAGCGTTAATAAATTGCATTGTTAGTTTATAGTTAATTAGGTCATTCCGATATTCTCTAATTAAGGAGAACCATATTATTGTTCGCGCCAGAGAACTTGTTTTATCAAGTAGAAATCTTAAGGACACGCGTGATTAAGCTCTAGTTACACATCTCGTGACATTTCCTGATCAAGAGACTAACCGAAACGATAAACACAACTGGAATCGATACCAGTGAAGCACACAATTATCGATGCCAGCCAGCTGTTACGTCCACAGATCGATTATTTGCGGGTGTAGTGCACCTGCGTTTTCCGGATGTATGACGAATAAAAGAAATCTCCAAACCGTTCAGTTTTGCATTTTATGTTTTTCTTCGTTGCTAACTTACGGGGGCTCATACACCTTAAACCTCTCATGATCTTCGAATATGTGACTGTTGCAAGAATTGGGATATTTTATTTATTTTAAAAGCAATTACTTCCAACCTTTTACAGCTGACTACATATATAGGCTTTGGAAACTAGTAACCAAAAGTTTGTGTGCCACAAATATTTTTGTAATTTAATCCTCTTTGTGACCAAATATTTCGCCATGTTTCCACCTTGCGCGCAAGATATTTTAAAAATGGCTAATGGTACATACTTGAAATTTGATGGACTTCTTTATATGAGCACTATCTTCTAACTGTACCGAAAATCCAGTGAATATTTTAATATTAAAAATGTTTATGCACCGAAAACATTACAGATTTTTTTTTAATAAAATACATTTTATAAACTCAACGCCAAGTAAAATAAAACTTTAACATGAAATTTTTAGAATTTAGGTTCACAGTAATTTCCAAAATGTTTATAAAAGTATATATTAAATATGGAATTAAATTATGCGACAGAATTTTTAAACTGTGCGCGCAAGGTGGAACATGACGAAAAATTTGTCACAAAGCGGATTGAATTATAAAAATATTTATGGCAACACAAACTTTCTGATGACTATTTCAGAAAGCAGCTATATTATGTAGTCAGCAGCAAAAAGTTGGAAGTAATTGCTTTGAAAATAAATAAGTTATCCCAATTATTGCAAAAGTCACATATTCGAAAATCTTATGGGTTTTAAGGTGTACAAGTCCCCTTAATATTTCTTATTTTATTCCTAACATTTCTTGTAAAAAATTGTATGCAATTATTTAGCAACACTGTTTTAAATCCTATCAGAGAAACCATATTTTCAATTACTTAAGTGGCACAAGTATGCGATTTTGCACCGTGCCAAACGCAGGGTGGGAAGTATAAAAAAATGATATTACATATTGTAAAATAGGTCGGACATTTTTGTTACGCTAGTATAAAGAAAAAATTTCAATTTCTTTTACCTGAATTGCTACTGTTGTTTTCTTATTCTTCGAGGTCTAGCATTCAAAACTAGATAAATATTATAAGGTATTTTCTCCCTCCTTCTGGCATGCCTTCATGGTGTAACGATTGGCACACTCGGAGCGTATTCGAGAGGTCAATGTTCGAGTTTGGGCGAGGGCATTACACATTTCTCATATTTTCTGTTTTAATTAATCTAATGTCTCTACAAGATCATTAATTAATAAATTTGCAAACATCCAAAATGAGATATATGCTAGCGAGAAGATCAACCTTACTGCGTTTAGGCTCACGAGACCTTTCTTACGCAGTACAATGAGTAGAAAAATGATTTTGAGGTAAGTTCTCGTGTCGCATTTAGGACACGAAATCGTGTCGCATTTAGGTAAGTTCTCGTGTCGCATTAGGAGAAGAAACGTGTGGGATTGGATAAAAGCAGGAAAAGAACATAATAACGAATAATTCTGGAATGAGCAGTCTGGCCAGTCAAATCACTTGCATACCCAAGTGCTGCTCCAGGACAGACACTTCTCTGTTTTACCAATTATGACTAGAATGAAAGGCATGGAACTTCCCAAATTTTATTACTTAAGAAGTCTTAACAGAGAAAATCACTCAACTAATTAGTAGTCAAGA